CGTGTCATTACTTACAATAGTTAAGAAACGCCTTTGAACTGAAGATAGTATACCGTCTTCCAATTCGTCATCACTGACCACATATTGACTTGTGGAATAATGGTGGCATTGGCCTAGTCACTTTCCCCTGACCGCTTCCATGCAGCACGTAGCGGAGACTCACCGGTCCTCGGAAAATTTGGATCATTGAATGCCAATCAGGACTGCACCTAGACATAGTTCCGTTTTGGCATATCATTCAGCACATCAGCAATGCGATGACTGCAGTAGACCTACTACTCTCGGCTTCTTATGAGTAAAGACCGTCTTTGGGTTAAGTGTACTTGGCTCTGCTGTTGTCCAACTTTGAACGCTTTGTTATGGAAAGTTCCCTCTCTTCCGCTTTCCCAAAAGAGAAAGGTAGTGCACTAAGCATACCCTTCTCTTTGAAACTGCAACCCGGTGGATTGTGAATGACTCAGGGCTATCGACGTCAAATACACTGAAAGTGCTACCTGGTTGTTGAGTAAGACTGTTCGCTTGCACGGACGATGCGCCTCTCTCCGGACCGGACCAAGTTTGTGTATGCGTGCCTCTTAAGTGGCTGACGCATAGTGATGCGCTCTTCGGCCTATTCGTAGCTCGCTCAAAAGTTAAGGCTGAATGACAGAACGTCGGCCATACAATCCTGGTTACCACAGTTACAGAATAACGTTTCGAAGTGGCCGACCTGTTCGTTGATGTGGTGTTCAACTTCTCGTTTCTGCTTCACAAAGCGATGCTAGAAGCCTAACACTACAGTTATATGTGGAGGCGCAGAAATACTGTTTACTCCTTCGAAGACAGGGCGAATAATAGCGAGGCACTTGCGGTGTTGCCGTGTGGGTGAGATACACAACCACTGCGCGTTGGGAAGGTCAGGAGATGCATCGCTTTTGATTTTATTGTATAACCACCGCGTGGACAGTGCCGAGATGATGTTTGGCAACAAATCTTGTGATGCTTCATCAAACAATCTACTGCAATTCAAATCGGCTTGTTCATGTTCTGCGTAAGTCCGGTTACCGTCCACTTCAGAATTTGTGTACTTTCGAGCAATTCGCTCTGATGTGTGCGTTTTCAGTAGGTCCACTGGATGGTTGGGAGAAAGGTGATGAAGGAACCAAGAGATTTGTCTGAACTAGCAATCGCCGCCTTCAAAGCTAGTGAACCTTAGGGTAGAGCATAATACAGTGGTTGGAGACCCCACTCCACGTAGCGCCGGAGCCATGAAGTTGGTGAATTTCATGCCCATAGCCTCTCACTACTTGCCGTCAAATTTGTCATTCGGCAAGTGCCATAATACACCTTGCGCGCTGCCAGCTCAGTGCGTTCTGTTATCGCTGCGTCTTTTGGCTACGAGGCAAAACTGCGTTCACAAGCTTGCGTTAGTGCCGCACATGTAGACTTTCACATACGTGTTGGTGTGTTTTGGTCCGTTCGATTAGTTCTTACTTTTCTCGCCTTTTGGTGACGATACCGGCCGTATATCAATCTTCGGTCCCTAATTCAACTTGACCTAAAGATGACAGTAATAGAACATTCGGTACAAGTTTGATTTTGTGAGTATTGGATCCAGTGTGACTAGCGCTGGTGGTTACGATGAAGTAATCTCCGTAAGTGAACGCTGTATGGACCCCATGTTCTACCGCGGGAGCTTTTGTCCAGTGAACTTTGTATATTAAAACAGTGTATCGACATTGCTTAAGGAAATGTTGCTATGACTGCCAGTCAGACTTCTGAAAAGCATTTTTTGACATTTAAACGACAGTTAAATGTGTTTCTTTTCACTACATTTGTCGGAGCCAAGGGGCTTCGACACTTAAGACAGATGCAACATTTCCCGGCGTTTTTAGAAGGTAGTTTTTAATTGCGACTTAAAGTATTGAATAAATCTAGTAACTGACTTTTTGACTGGAGGTTCGGAAAAGACAAGAATCCTCATGATACTGAAGTCATTTTAGCCAACCCAAGTTGGTCTTAATTAAATCAATGCGTAAATCATATTTTAGGTGTCCTTAAGAAGCCGTTAACAGAAAATAGGCTAGGCAACTGCATTCCTCATTTCAAACGCATGCAAACGCTCCACTGCCATCTTTCCTCGGACATAAAGTGTTTAATGATAAGCGTTTCGTCACCGTGTCCAAATTTAACCCGAGCAATTAGGTGAGCATGTGAAACTTTCAATTCCCTACCATAAATTAACTATGGCTGTATCAGTTCAACGTTTTCACTCATTGTAGCAAGAAAAGAATTCTGAGTAACGACTTAATGTCTATTGAAGCAGTTTTTTTCTCATACATCGAATTTGACGTACCGCGCTTGCGTTTGTGGAAGCCAAGAGGCTGAAATTGTACGCATGTGATTTATCACCTAGCTGAACCAAGATGTAACCTTTGAACTGCGTTGAGCTCAAGCTGTCACCCACCATGGTACTTCAGATAACACCTACCTTTTTGCTCATAATTCTGGTCCCACCTGACGAGATAAATCCTTGTCCTGATTGATTCACATGCAAGTACACTTCTCTGGTCGACCACACTATGAGGGTGTGTGTGTGTGTGTGTGTGGTATTCTGTACTGACCTTAGTCTGGTGAAAGCTTGAGTTGCAGCTTATGCTTCGGCCTAGGAATATCGACTGCGGGGGATTCTGGCCAAGCTGATAAAGATCGCAAGTGGAATGATTTGCTTGGAAGCAAATGGTCCCGCACTTACGCATACACTGCGCCGGTTCACTAGATGGATCTGGTCCCATTCGTATTGTGGCCGAATTCAGTTCGGTAGGTTCAAACAGCAAGGATCCCGTAACCTGGTCGTGACTGACTCAAACACCCTGGTTTATCTATGTGAGTTGGGCAGCAATGGAACAATGGTATATTAGGGCAAAAAAGCGGATACTTAACAAGTTCCATAGGATGGCCAAAAAGAGAACAACGTCATTGTGAATAGAAAACAAAGGGATAAAATGAAAATCTTTTTAGTGGACTCACCACAGTGTTAACACACAGGCACGCAGGAAGAGCCAACCACAGTTGTGTAGGTTGATTCTGGTTGTGCAAAGTTCGTCGCATTATATCGTCTGTCGAGACACAGGCTATATCTCGTAGTGTAGGTTGGTCGGGGCAACATCAATGCGTTTTTTAAATACAGATAATGTGGGGGCGGAAACAACGTAATTTCATGGGGCGTTCCAAGGCTAACACACACGAAGAGAGTAGAAGTTTCGTCGATATTCAAGCCTATTGTACTGCATGGCTAACTTGAATTGGTGGCCCCTCAAATTCGTGTTGTGGCTCAGTTGTAGTAGGTGACGGCAGACGTGGTTGGGGTTCCTTAGAATCTGGTTGACCATAATAAGCTCGCCCCATAGGCACCGGTTCCGGCCGCTGTACACTTTTACGCTCCTCAGTCTGAGTTGATAACAAAGATTGAACAACCCTTTGACGTGCTTCGTGCCTCGTCTCTGTGGAGTCTCGAACGCCGCAAGGTCTTATTTGTGCCAGGTCAGCGAAAGCAACAATGCGGAAAGTCAATTAAAGGGATACTATATCGTTAGTAGGTGTTTGAAAGAAAAGATCGGAAGCATCGGTTACAGCGACTGACTATTGAAAGCGGACACCAGCTGCAGCAGCTCCACAGGCTGCACTATTTTGCTGTTTGGTAAAGGTATCCCACGCATTTGGTACAAGATTCGGAAGCCTTATTTGTTTGGTACAGTACGCACCAGTCTCTCAGTAATCCTTTATTCAGGTGTTTCCTTCCAAATTGTCACACTAGTGTCTTAACAACGAAGGGCTTTTCTCAGAAATACGCGGATGATGCCATAGTAGACGGCCATCGGCCAAGCGAAGAAAAGTCAGCAGCAGTACGTCAATACGTAATACCGACGCTTCGATTCCGCGCAACCATTACCAGTCGTGTGTGGGAGATGGATACTGCGTGGGTATCCCGGTCCCCTACACAGGCTCGAACCTGCGACCTTAAGATTACAAAACAGGTTTGTGCTCCTTAAGACCACGGATCGGCACCAGGGAAGACTACAGCCTAATAAAACACAACTGGTTATTCGATGCAGCGCCACATGGCCTGTTGCAAAACACCGGTTGCTGGATGTAACCGTGTCTCATTTGGTTGTCTCGTCCGCTTTGTATGGCGTCTCAAAATCGCGTCGCTCCATATGGTAACATTGGCGCCATCAACGAGTGGTACAACACTCAGCAGAAAGTTGAAAGCTCCTATCTTCATGGTGTTTTAAGGCTTTGGAACACTATTTCCTCGGAAATTTTTCGATTTTGTTTACTTCTAACCACACACTTTATGACCAGTTTCGTTCTCGTTTGGATTCCTCAGGTAGAGATAACCAGTTGGGCGTGGAACTAGGGACTTCACGGTTGACGGCTGATTCCTTGCGCATTAAGTCACTGCGCTTTGTGAGCAACGTTCTTGGCTTCTCTTACGGGCAAACACAGTGACAATAAGGTGTGTCGGAACACTTCTACAGCAATGCCCTGCTCTTCAAAGGCCCGACCTCGCACCGGAAAGTTCGGCACACTTAACCAGTTGAATCCGAGGTCTTTGCATGCCGAACGGACCGGACTCCTAGGTGGCAATATTTTCAGTCGCAGTTGTTTCTATGCTAGCCACCTGACGTTAACTCCTATAAGAATGTACCACCGTGCAACCGGTTTTTCAAGTCGACTTCTACCACAAAACAGGAGTGGAAAAAGGGGAGACAGAGCGGCACTTGCACACCCCATTCACCGCATCTCGGAAGAGTTCACCAGAGTAACTTTATCGTTTGTCGCTGACTCTTTTTTGTGTAATCTGGGCAGTGTGGAGTTAAGGGACATCTGAACGCTTTACCGCATATAAGGCCCGTCATCAGCTAACCATGCTCGTTTCGTTTTTATTCGCACCAGTCAGTCCCACTATGGTTCTTCGGTATACTATTGGTCGATGCCCGTTCTTTTACGTTTCTCAGGTGATTAAGGTGATCTTGGACAATGCATTTCCGATCCACCTAGTCAGCTGCCCCAATGGAATCCGCTGTGTTGATGTGAGCAGAAACCGGGACAAACTGGGTGTGATCGATGACAGTGGTACGCTAAGCATCTTTTGTCTGAGGACCAAGGACTTGCTATTCCAGGTGAGATCTTTTGTGCATCCTACAGCGCATCGTTCGGTGAGTTCCCTGTGTTGGAACTCACTCCGTTAAACCTCTGTTGTACACATGGTACACTATGAATATTCATTGCGTTCAGCCCTTTTGCCTTTGTACCTTAACCACAACCCTCGTGAGGGAAGCTGTTAGTGCCACGTGCGGACATCATGCACTTTCATACGAGCCTCTTTGCTCATATACATGCACCTACGCCTGGTTTTATCCACTACCGTATTTTCAGGAACCCGCTGTGCTCAGTCTGGCTTGGAGCACCACCGACAATGAGTTACTTAGTTACAGCGGGGATGGTGTGCTTTTCATCAAGGCCGGACAGTGTCCAAGCTACGCTGAACACGTCAAGGTCAGTGCTCCTTCAGTTCTCCTTTTAGAGGCAGGCACAATCTTTTATTGTTTCGAATTTCACTCACAACATGATGTGAAATCCATTCGTAATCCCTGTCTTTTCTTTTAATACTAATGTCTCTTCGCTGTTGTCAGATTTGGCCTCCACTCTCCCACCCCATACTAGACTGTCAAATTGTTGACATTTCAGCTCTGCGACCTAGTACTTGAAACGCACCGAAGAACCATGAATCCAGCAGCCATGACTGGCACCCCCATACTGCCACTGCCACTGTTACTGCTAGTATTACTACTACCAATAATAATATTAATAATAATAATAGAAGTGGAGCTTCAGCGAAGAGATTTTCGATACTTCCCTTCAGGCATTTACAATTACGAGAACCCTTGATGCAACAAGCTATCTAAAGCTGCAGTAGTGAATGGTTAGGTCACAGTTAAACGGAAGGTCAATGAGCCAATCGATAGATTAGTCAATGCAATCAGGTGATAAACGTCATGCGCTTTCACACCCCAAACAGTGAAAGGCAAACATAAGAAGAAAGGAATGGTTGGTTTGGCGTCAACGCTCACAGTTACTCCTGTGCAAAGGTAGGTACAAACGGCGTCAATCGTTCCGGCCAAGGCAGCGTTAGCGCTTGCACAAGCGTCCTCTGCTTGCATAACTCCGGTTGCAGCAGCGTGATAGCCATTGCTTCCGAAGTAGCCAACAGGCACTTCTTCAGTCCTTTTGGGCTGCGTTTAGATACGACGTAAAGAACTGTGAAAGCGCCATCGGTCCGAACATGATGCTCCTTGATTGATTCATTGACCTTCCCTTGAACTGTGACCTAACCATCCACTACTTCACCTTTAGATAGCTTATCGTGTTGTATCAAGTTTTCTCATAATTGTAAATGCCTGAAGAGAACTATCAGAAAGCGATCTCTTCGCAGCAATTCCTCTTCTTCTAATGTATGACTAGGTATAATACACGAATAATAACAATAATAATAATTCGAAGGGTATGGACCAAGTGCCAAGTCCTTAGATGTTAAGAACAGAGAAACTACCGCGAAATCCTACTGCGCTATATACAACATAGTACCGAACCACTTGTGGTGCCTGTCTGGAAATCGAAGACACCCAGCATCCTTGCCTATCTTTGGTGCAAGTTGCAACATGCTCTTTGCCCACGCTACTGACCGACCCCTTCAGTGTTTCACCCAGCTAGGTGAAGTATATTCCTAAACATTACACGCCACTTCATTTGACTAGTCTACATGCAAAAGAATTGACCTAAGCAACTATGTGGTCCCAGTTCAACAGCTGTTGTGATGCTATCTCAAAGTGCTTGCTGTCAGGCAATGGATGACAGACCTCATTGATCCTCAATTGGCGTTGCACTGTTCAGAAACACTGCTCACATGCGTTTTCATATGCCATTATGTGACCCACGCCAAAGCTTTTCATTCATGTGACTTACTTCATACCTGTAATACTTTATTGCTTCCTAGGGTGTCACAGTTGGTTTTTGCGGATCATATGTTTACTGTCTGCAAGAAAATCTCATAAGCATAATCGAGGTCTCCTTGTCTCCGGCAATGTACTACTACATAGAGGCTGGGAGCCTGCATGAAGCACAGAAAATGGCGCGTCATGGATTGACCGACCCCGACTGGACCGCACTTGGCCGCACTGCTCTCAACAAACTGAACTTGGAGGTAGGCACACAGTGACATTCAAGCAATTTAGGTTGCAGTGCTATTCAGAAAATTTATTTGAATATTTTCATTACACAGTACACTTGGGTGTATCGCTGCTTTGCTTTCACATGGGTCTTTTCATGCGGTTTGGCACACACAACTCACGTTTGTCGCACTGTGCCTCTCGTTATATGTTCCCTAGTTTACGGCTCATCTACTGGCACCACCTTCATTATGCGTTGCTGCTCCATCACGGCCAACAGCAAGAATTGCAACTGCTTAGTGACAACTTTTCTCCTCTGCGTTCTGTACGCACTAGCTGGCTTCAGCCTAATCTCCTAAACGGTTGTTTTTACAAACTCTTACTGCAAGATATACTTTGGACGGGGATATCCTTTCATATATCGCTAAAGTTCAACGCCCCTTCTTCGTTTGTGTCAGTTTCAGCTACACAACTAGAGGCATTCCCGTCACTTTTGCATACTGGCATGTTGAGTGCTAAGTGGTCACCAGGAAAAGAATTCACTACATTTATCGGCTATGCTGGTGGGCACCTTTTACGCGAACACCCACACATATAGTGCGTTGCGACTCCGTTTCCTGGGCTCGTAAGCTGCAGGTCCATTAAGGAATGGAGCCTTACTTTGCGAAACACTTGACGTTTGGAGCGCAGCTCCAACATCCATTCACACTCCGCTCCGCAGGATTAAAAAGATGACACTTTCGGGGTCAGCCACAGTGTTACCCTGCTTCAATTAACTGAGTATAATTTATACCATAGTACATGATTAGCTATAAATTTAAGCCTACGAAGTAACCTAGCAACACTGAGAGCATACACTGTGATGGGGGCAGGAAATGCTGGTGATTGGAAACGCTATAATGCCGATCGAACGTCACAGGCCAGACCGATAAGGAGTGAGCATGTTGCTGGAAGCATGTTGGTCAGCCAATCAGGAACTAGTTGGCTCGTAATCGCGACCACTATGCAACTATCCACTGAACGTGCAAATGACCAATAGGGCGCCAGCAGACGAAGGAGCGCATACTCATACACCCTTGAGCCAAGGCTTGTGGCACTGGACCGAGAGAAGAAACTCGCGGACACAATCCCGCCAATCGTACATCGACTAAGGAAGCCAAAGTGATTTAGACAGAGTGAAAGTCGCGAGCAAGCATAAACCAATGGAAAGGGAGCCAGCGACACAATGCAAATAACAGAGATGAGCCATTGAGACGAACAGTTGTAAATGGTGTAAATACTCTATAAATATTCGAGCGTAATCTTAATAAATGTCTCCGTGATCGCGTCCCAGTCTTCTTGCTTCCCGGAGGGCTACAAGACATGGCGACAGAGGTGAAGAAGCCGAGGCGCCGGAACCCGCTCGGTTTTGGTGGACAGCCATCGATCCCACTACCGACCGCTCTGCTGATGACTGAAAGCATGCTGCCAGAGAATTGGAGAATGGGGAAGGCAAAGTAAAGGGATTTCGTCACTCTGAACTAGTTTTATACTCAACCAATGTCGTACCAGTTGGCGATGTTTAGGCACGCTGTGGGTGATGAAGCCAGGAGGGTGCTCGAAACATTGAGGCTCAGTGAGACTGGTAAGGAAGCCGAACTTTCGGAAGTGTTGCGAAGATTCATGGCGTTTTACGAAGGGCGAGTAACTGAAACGTATCAGAGGTATTTATTGTTTGTTCGCGATCGATCCCCAAGCGAATCGTTCAAGACTTACATAACGGAACTGAAACTGTTGGCGCGTAACTGCAACTTCTGCCATTGCATGCGAGACTCCTTGCTACGTGATCATATTGTCGTTGGCATAAAGAATGATGAGCTTACTCGGCGCATTCCGAGAAAAAGGAAACACTCTTTGGAACAATGTGTAGACGTCTACTTGAGTGAAGCAAGGACGGCGCAGCAGTTCGAGCATGGGAGAGCCGAAACAAACACCGATCTGTGCGCGGTATCCCGAACCAGCAATAGTCTGCCCCAGACACTCGAAGGACAGGGTCCGAGGTGTCAGTTTTGCGGTCGTGTACATCCAAGAGGAAAAGAAAGCTGCTCAGCATGGGGTCGAACGTGCACAAAATGTTCCAAGAGGAACCATTTTGCTCGCTGTTGCATATCCGCTAAGGCCAGTCTAGTAGTCGAGAGCATCAATGAACAGTTACAAAAATTTTCGATAAGCAACTTGGAAAATCGTGGAGAACACAAGTGTATTTTCGCGATGCTTTTGATTCGAGGACGACCGGTGCGCTTCCAACTGGACTCTGGGGCTACTGTCAACATCCTACCTGAGAAGTACTGTGTTGGAATGACATGTGACAGGACACAGAATTGCCTCAGCATGTGGAATGGTTCAAAGCTGCTACCGAAAGGTACCGCCACGTTGAAGGCTATCAATCCGAAAAACGGCACAGAATACCAACGATTTCCTGATAATCTCAAGAGACCTTATGCCCATTCTGGGTCTCGTTTCTATTCAGTCTCGGTTTTGTCTCTTTTAACCATGAAAGTTTCATCCATTCATGTGGAGATAACATAGATATTGTTGACGGCTACCCAAGCGTGTTTGACTGGGTCATAGGGAGATGCGAAGGGTGTGTTCATTAATCTGTAGTCGAATCCGCTAAGGCGGTAGTATTTCCGATCAGCAAGGTGCCTATTGCCTTACGTGGGAAATTTTTAGACGAGCTGCAGCGTCTTGCTAGTTTGGATTTAATAGCCAAAGTTGAGGAGCCGACAGATTGGGTTAGTCAGGTGGCGATCGTTACTAAGAAATCTGGAGAACAACGTATATGCATTGATCCAAACTCACTTAAAGCCGCACTCAGGAGGCATCATTATACGCTACCGACGCTAGATGACGTAATTCCGGAGCAGCAGCAAGCCAACTGGCCGGACCTTTAGCTCAGTTTTTCTAACGCTGCTTAGACCAGAACCAAGTCCCCGCCATGTGGAAGCTTGGAATAATAACCCCGATTCACAAAGGTGGAAGCAGAACTGATCCCTCCACCTACCGCCCAGTACCCCTTCTTCCTATACTCTCCAAGGTCATGGGATCCATAGTTGCCGATGCACTGTTGTGCTACCTGGAAAACTTCAATCTCATCACTCTTGAACAGCACGGTTTCCGTCGACAGCGGTCATGTACAACGAATTTACTAAGTGCACGCAATAGTTGGACCGAAGCAGCTGACGCTGGGGAAGGTGTTGATGTGATCTACCTGGAGTTTTCCAAGGCTTTCGACCGTCTAGACCATCGAATACTACTATCCAAGCGGCAGCATTATGGGATCGGAGACCCTCTTTTAAGTTGGATCGCCAACTTTCTATTTCAACGGCAATTAGTGGTCAGAGTTCGGAGCTCTTTATCGGACCCCATACAAGTCGAGTGTGGTGTGCCGCAAGGCTCAGTTCTAGGTCCACGTTTGTTTTTGGTGTTTATTAATGACCTTGCACAGGGAATCGCTTCAAACTTCCTAATGTTCGCCGACGATATCAAGATCTGGCGCAGGATCCAAGCGAACGCCGACCAACATATGCTTCAGAGTGATTTAGATACGGTGTATCAATGGTAGATCCAAAACTTATTGCATTTCAACGTCAGTAAATGCAAGGTGCTTTCCATCCGACATCAGAGCAGCTACTCATACCGACTCGGAACGAATATACTACACCAATCAACTCTCGAACGTGACTTGGGTGTCCTGGTTCGAGATGACTTGGGTTGCTCCAGGCAATCCGAAAAGGCCTCGAAGACCGGGAACCAACACGTCGGGCTGTTGAGGCGGGCGTTTGGACAAATAAACAGCTCCATATTTAGACAAATGCTCAGTGCGTATGTTCGCTCCCATGTCGAATATGAAATTCAAGCCTGGCATCCATGGCTGAAACACGACCTTAATGCACTGGAGCAGCCACAACGCCGGGCATCTAAGAGCGTAATTGGAATGCACAATCTTTCTTACCAGGAGATTCTGCAACGACTGGGATTGTTCAGTGGAAGCTATCGCAGACTACGATGCGACCTTATCATGGCATATATGATTCTGCGAGACCCACATCATGTGTGCCGCCCTTTAGTGCAACTCAGCAGCAATACAAACCTGTGCGGCCACTCATTAAAACTCGCAGAACAATACAGTCGTCTGGAGTGCCGCAGAAATTTCTTTTCCATTCGTGTCTGTCAGCCGTGGAATGCTCTCCCAGAATCAGTCGTCTCTGCACCGACACTAACAGTATCTAAAAGACGGTTGGACGATGCACTCATGCACTTACACTTTGTCACTTAACACTACGTCTCCATCCTACACCTGGAGTTTACCATGGAATCATTTGTGGTTAACTGTGGATACTGTGAATCTAAGAGGACCTCGGGACTGCGGCGAAACAAACGATAAGTCCTTATTTTCATGTTTAAAGTATTAACTATTTTACTATCCTTATCATCATTATTGTTATGTTGATATTCCCACTAACTACCCAACGGGACTTGTAAAGCAAACGCTTCTTAACCCGTATAAATTCGTTGTTCATTGTTCATAGAATATTCACTACAGTCGAACTTGCTTCCTCGTTTTGGCATGTGTTACTTGATGAAGAGTCAAGCTACTTGACCACGTTTGGGACAAATTTCGGGCGTTTCCACTGGCTTCGTTTACCGTTTGGACTGAAGGTATCTAGCGAGATATTCCAGAAACGACTGGTGCAGGCTTTAGACGATTTACCAGAAACGTTCTGTGTAGCAGACGACGTTTTGGTTTTTGCCACAACACGAGAGGAGCACGACCAGAACCTTCACCTATTTTTGCAGCGCTGTTTTGAAAGCAACGTCAAGCTGAAACGAGAGAAGATCGAGTTGCGTAGGACGGAAGTGGTGTTTCATGGACACGTGCCAAGATCCGAAGGACTGTAACCAGACCCAGAGAAAGTCAGGGCCATCAAACAGGTGCCTCCTCTTACTGACGTGAAAGCCGTTAGCAGTCTGAATGGGGTGGTGAATTACCTAA